ATTACGAGAATAAAGTCATAACATTACGAGCATAAAGTCATAACATTACAAGAATAAAGTCGTAACATTACAAGAATAAAGTCGTAACATTACAAGAATAAAGTCGTAACATTACGAGAATAAAGTCGTAACATTACAAGAATAAAGTCGTAACATTAATAAAAATAAGTTTTACTTCTTTATACCCCTTTTTAGACAGATGAGACATTCTAGATAGAATTTGTTTAATCGATTATTGATCATTATAAAATGCACTGATGAACAAATAAAATGCCCCATTAGATAATTAGAAATACATTTTAAATGATGAATTAAATGTCGTTTGAAAAAGAAATGTGATCCTGATGTTAAGTACTTTGATCTATATAAAATCCATTGAAATCTCTGGCTGTAATGTGATAAAAAGTGATAAAAAACAAACAAACAAAAACAGGTGAAGTGTTATGAATAATTCTCATCCCAGCAACAGTCATTTTCTGAGTAAGCCCTACCGAGTCATTGAGGAGGAAGGCGGCTGAGTAGGGGGTCAGGATGGCAGTGTAGATGACCAGCAGCAGAATGAGCCAGTCCCACACAGCCTTGAAGGGACTGTAGTGCAACACCGTCCACTTGTGGATGCGAGGAGCTTGAAGCTTGTACTCCGGCAACACATCTGCACCCAGAGACAGCACCTGGGTAGACACAGGGGGAGAGAGGAGCCATCAGAGGAAGGGTATTATATATAGAGAGAATAGGAGAGAAGCAAAGCACACATCTACTGAACTAACAAATTAGAAAAAACTAAACTAAAAAAGCAGGACAGAGCATATATTTCTCCTTAAAGTGCATTTCAAACGTTCATTAACTATACATGGGTCCTTGTAGCGTTAATTCAATGAGTACAACAACAGTGGTTTGCAATTAGAGAGTCTGTGTCCACCGAGGATGACGAGAATCGTTCTGAAGGCAGCGCCCACCTTAAGGTTAGCCCCCTGGGCAGCCATCTCTATGCGCATACACACACGCACATGATGCAGAGCCACAGTAACCGCAGCAATACACTCTAATGCATTAACATAGCTCAGACCATACAGTAATCCTGCACAAGCACAGTAATATTCACACTAGTTTTCCATACCAGCCGTTCAGCCCGAACTCTCACAAGCAAAAGGAGGCAGAATTAGCAGAATATTAAAAACTGCAGCAGCTGAGGGGGAGAAAACAGCCTGTAAATACATACATGTGCTGCACAGACAAAAATTAGGCCCACTATTGTTAGACATTTAATTTTAGTTGAGATTTGGCTTGTAAAGTTATGACAGAGAATTAGGGCCAGGTTAGAGATTATTTAAATTTTTATTTTGAGCATACAGTCATAACATTACAAGAATAAAATTGTAATATTACGAGAGTAAAGTCGTAATATTACAAGAATAAAGTCATAACATTACAAGAATAAAGTTGTAATATTACCAGAATAAAGTCATAACATTACAAGAATAAAGTTGTAATAGTACGACAATAAAGTTGTAATATTACAAGAATAAAGTCGTAACATTAAGAGAATAAAGTTATAATATTACTAGAAAAAAGTTGTAACATTACAAAAATAAAGTCCTAACATTACGAGAATAAAGTTGTTTTATTACGAAAATAAAGTCGTAACATTACAAGAATAAAGTCGTAACATTACAAGAATAAAGTCCTAATATTACGATAATAAAGTTGTAATATTACGAGAATAAAGTCTTAACATTACAAGAATAAAGTCGTAACATTACAAGAATAAAGTCCTAATATTACGATAATAAAGTTGTAATATTACGAGAATAAAGTCGTAACATTACAAGAATAAAGTCGTAATATTACGAGAATAAAGTCGCAACATTACAAGAATAAAGTCGTAACATTAAGACAATAAAGTTATAATATTACTAGAAAAAAAGTTGTAACACTACAAAAATAAAGTCCTAACATCACGAGAATAAAGTTGTAATATTACGAGAATAAAGTTGGAATATTACAAGAATAAAGTTGTAACATTACGAGAATAAAGTCGTAATATTATGAGAATAAAGTTGTAACATTACGAGAATAAAGTCGTAACATTACGACAAATAAAGTCGTAACATTAAGAGAATAAAGATATAATACTAGAAAAAAAGTTGTAACATTACGAGAATAAAGTTGTAATATTACGAGAATAAATTCGTAACATTACAAGAATAAAGTCGTAATATTATGAGAATAAAGTTGTAACATTACGAGAATAAAGTCGTAACATTACAAGAATAAAGTCGCAACATTACGAGAATAAAGTCATAACATTACGACAAATAAAGTCGTAACATTAAGAGAATAAAGATATAATACTAGAAAAAAGTTGTAACATTACAAAAATAAAGTCGTAACATTACGAGAATAAAGTTGTAATATTACGAGAATAAATTCGTAACATTACAAGAATAAAGTCGTAATATTACGAGAATAAAGTCGTAACATTACAAGAATAAAGTCGTAACATTACGAGAAAAAAGTTGTAATATTACGAGAATAAAGTCATAACGTTACAAGAAATAAAGTCGCAACATTAAGAGAATAAAGTTTTAATATTACTAGAAAAAAAGTTGTAACATTACGAGAATAAAGTCGTAACATTACGAGCATAAAGTCGTAACATTGCAAGAATAAAGTCGTAATATTACGAAAATAAAGTTGTAATATTATGAGAATAAAGTCGTAACATTATGAATATAAAGTTGCAATATTTCAAGAATTAAGTCATCATATAACAACCCATTTCAGAAAGAAAGCTTCGAGCTCCGAAGAGGTGAGTATATATCTGTAATCTTAAACTATAATTAAACTGTTAATTTTCCACAATTACCACAAACGATATAAAATGCCTGAAAAAGCACAAATTATATCAGAAATGCTATTTGGAGTAGACAGTTCTGCTGATCATCTTTTCATAAATGCAAGATGTTATATTTTTACCAATCCTTGAGGAGGGGGGGTGTGAAAATTAAATTTGACCTCTTTTTAGACAATATACATAAAACAATGTAATTTCTCTGGCTGTTTATACCAACAGGTTTATTTGGTGGATGGCTTTGTTTCTATTTATGTTCTGGTGAATTTATTTAGTTTGGAAATTAGTGTTTGGTTTGGTTTGATATTAAATTGTCTCTTTTTTGTGTATTTGGTTGATTAATTTATTGTTTTTTGTCAAATTGTCCAAAATAAATAATACTTTACTTTCCTATGATTTAAAGTGATCCAGACAAAACTAATTCCATAGGCATTTTAAAAATGGATGGACAACGCTGACAGCATTAGTATTCAGGTAGAGAAGTTCTGTTTGACCCGGGAAGACCTGCAGAAAGGAACAATCAACTAGAAGGTGAATCATAACAGAATAAGAGCCAACAGCTCTGATTTGAATAGCTCTGTAAAACATGAGTGCTCACGATCAGCCTTTCTCCTTTAAACCCTGTTTTTCTCCTCATTTTAAGCTTTTGTTCCACTTCACAGTACTTGTTGTTCCACCCGCTGTCCACCCCTGACCTCAAAGGTATAATAGTTTTGGTTATTTCACTCTCGCTGAGTTTTATTTAGATGTTAAAGTTGTTTTTCTCTGATTCCGTTAGTTTTAATTAGATTTTAGTCCTTTTTTTCTAGTTTAGTTTTATTCGTGTTAGAACTAGCATTAGTTTTTTTTTTCTATATTTGGGTAAAGTTTTAGACACATTTAAAAAGGTCAGAGTATTGTATTTATTTAATTACACTCATATTCAAAGGTCAAAGCTACATTTTTTTTAAGCAAAACGATCACTAAAATAAAAATAAGCATATATAATATATAAATAAATGTTTTTATTGGTTTGATGAGTCCACAATCTACATTTCCGTCTGGTTTCAATGCAAACATCAATTCAAAATGATTCTTTTATGAAATGGATCCGCATTTTTAAGTTGCAAAACAATAACCAAGGTAACTTTTACTCATTGTTAAGATTCGATCAGGTTAAAATTTGCTTAACTTTATTTTTATTTTAGTGAAAAAAGTTATTGAAGTTCTTGTACTTGAGTGAATATTTTTATGCACTTTTTCTCCAAAGTGTGCAGAAGCGATCTGGTGCAGTAACATGTCGATCCTGTGGGGGGAAAATAGGAACAATAGGGTAAAGTTACATGAGATGGAGCTCAGGTGTTTCCAGATTGTCGTACATTAGGTCACAATTGTTAGATTCTCCAAGAAGAAAAAGAACAAAAAACCAAAATCTAAAGGACAGTGATCATCGGTCTAGACTTAACTTTTCTGAACAGGTTAACCTTTGGTTTGGGTTAGCCAGATGTTAACCAACGGCTAAAGACCAGACCATAGAGCTGGAAAAAAATTACAAAACAGTAGAGATAAGGACGAGTGCGCCACCTAGCAATATCAATGGCGTGACAACAGAACAATAGGCCCGCAAGCAACATTTTCCGGGTGGGCCCCATACGAAGTACAACACCCCATCAACCCCCCCACCGTTAAAAAAAAACATCATAAATTTGTAAGTTTGCAATAACTTTGCAAATTCCAAAACAAATTCTCAAACAAATGTACAAACTTGAAAATGAAGGATGTGTAATTTAAGTATGTTTAATACATGTCAGTTCTTTTTTTCCCCTTTAATTTATCTTTTAAAGTCAGTTAATCAAAAAGTTTTCTCAATTTTTTGTTAGATTTGTTTTGTAAAGCTTTGAAGTTTGAAGAGATTTCTCCACCTTTATTAATGTAATGAACAGAGGGGAAACACTCCGCTTTGCCAGAAACTATTTCAAATTCTGTTTGTATTCCCTTTTAGGGTTGTTTTGATATAAATCAATAAGAAAGCAACTGAGAAAAATCTGTTTGATTTCTAAAATAAAGTGAAATATTTTAGTGTTTATCATGTGAAAATGTTGCCATCTGTTTAATGCCTCAGACAGCTTATAGAGTCTGCCTCCTTCTAATGCTTCATTTAATGACGTTTATTCTCTTCTCTGAACCTACTTTGAGTTGTGCAGATTTAGAAATCCTTTGGTCTCATGATCTGTTAATCTGGATTTTGGTTGTGTTCAGTTATACTTTAATTTATGACATTCAGGGCTTTCTAGCCACTTGTTTAATCTCCCTGTAGTGTGAATTAAGATCATTTTGAGTTATATTTAAGCCTTGTTGTATTCCTTTTTTTTACTCTCTGCAACACCCTAGTGCCCCCCCACCGCCACCCCATTTCCCTTCTAGCTGCTTCTGTCCACACCTGCTCCCAATTAGCTGATTATTCCATTCATTGCTCTGTCTACAAACCTCCACTCATCCTGACATTTAGACATTCTAGATCTGGATGTCAAAGTTGGTTTCAAAAGTAGAGGTCAATGGATAGAGGATTTTTAAAGTCCGATGCCGATTATTTTTGCATCAGTCTAACCCATCTCTGGTACATGCTGCTGATATTTTGAGCGTAATTTTGGAGATATCGAATTTCATTCCTGCAGTTACCAAATAGAAATGACACAATGATAAGAAATGTTACACAACTCCTGATAAAAACAAAAAACATACTTTTATAAAGAAATGAAACAAAATATTAATACTGGATAGCAAATGGAGGGAGGGGTCAGTCATGTGATTCAAGGTGTGGCGTCTAAACATGCTGATAAA